TTCACTTCTGATAATAATATGATACTGAAGCTTAAAGATAAGTTTGTAAAGGCAGCAAGTGATTTTAGTAATACCTTGCTAGAAAACGCTCTAGTTACTGGATATAGTTATGCTTTTTTTATAAATATGTAAGCCATATAGTTCATTCATACATTTATGGCATTAACATGCATGTGACGTACACTAGAGATATATACTGGTGTATGTGTCCTGAACCACTATTATATTTATTTAAATTATTTGTGATCGCCTTTCTAGGTATTCAAACTTCGTGTTGAACCAGGGTCTAAATGAGAAACAGTGTGTTATCTTTGCACATCATAAGCCTCAAACCTCAGGAAAGCGCAAGTCGCATATACGTAAGTACAAGTGCCTATTTAATAGGAGAAGTTGGCCATTAACCCACTAGTATGGGCTAAATAACCATGCATCAGTCAGCCACAATTTTTCAGTTTTATCCTAAAGTCTCACACTGGCCTGTGATAAGTAGTGTATAGGTACGATCTCAGCTGTTATATTTTCTTGATTCTTTCCATGTACGCTTTACATGAATAGCTTCATTCTGGCCCGACTTATATATCGATATATCTAGTCGTTGACTCAAAGTTTCGTACTGCATTGTCAGCCTCAGTTAGGTGCCTGCCTGTGTACATACAGCATTGTGTAATACAATGCTTAGGTCAAGGATTACTGGTAAAGGCAAGCAACATGATAGTACTTTTTTTGTTCTGCTACGTAGCAGCGGCATTGAAAAACGTGCCGTTGGCGCACACATCTCTGGATGAAGAGTCGGAAACTGTGCGTACTGAGTTCAATCAGTATCTCAGTCAACTGCTGAACAATATGAACGACAAACATGAGCAGGAGGAGCTAAACATCATTGAACAGCGTTAGTATCGTCGTGGCAACCACATCGGCAGCAGACTCTGTGGATACCTAAAGGGTAATGTTCCAGGTGAGATAGTGCAATAATTGCCTTCAGTGGTTACCTTAAAGTGTATGCTATGTCAGTAGAGCAAATGCAAGCGAAAAAACTGACAACTGATAAATCTCATCAGATCTCTCAAGGTCTAAACTTCAGTAACATAAACTGCATACACACTTCTGACTGTATTAGTGTGGAACCACTAGCTGGGATTTAATATTTAGAAATAAGATTGCTGTGGATAAACTTTTGACAAGGCTTTTATAAATATAAGGTTTATAAACATTAACTTCCCAAAGCCTGCATTATATAACTACAGATCAACATTCCGCCCATAAGCTATATGTGATAATTAAAGAATAGAAGTGTATTATTTATTCGTATTTTGAAATTATTTCACGTAGACCTCTATTGTGGTAGATGCACGTAACTGCAACCTGATATTAGTGTAGAGTTTTAGCTTCTATAATCTTACAGTCTGATATTTCAGTTGTGACAGTAGGTATCAATGGCCAAGTTTTCATGAAATTTACGGCAATCAGTTACTGGCAATACAGTATTGGTCTTGTTTGCTAAAAGCACTTTGGAAATTTTTGCAATATCTAAAAAAACATTAAGCCACATATTAATATAAGAGCAAGTAAAATTGTTACCAACAAACCAAAATGAACCAATGTGTGTTATCAAAATTACATGTACCTTTTATTGTACATATTCTTAATTACAATGTAATAAACGCTTATATCTTATCTTGAAACACAAAAAAGATGTTTAACTGTATATATGTATATAATATTACATTCTTCACCAATATGTCAACATTTCTTCAGACATGAAACAAAATTACATGTACCTTTTATTGTACATATTCTTAATTACAATGTAATAAACGCTTATATCTTATCTTGAAACACAAAAAAAGATGTTTAGCTGTATATATGTATATAATATTACTTTCTTCACCAATATGTCAACATTTCTTCAGACATGAAACAAAATTACATGTACCTTTTATTGTACATATTCTTAATTACAATGTAATAAATGCTTATATCTTATCTTAAAACACAAAAAAATGTTTAACTGTATATTTGTATATAATATTACATTCTTCCCCAATATGTCAACATTTCTTCAGACCTGAAACTAATGCAACATATTCAAATAAAGTAGAAGACAGATAGATAATGACAAAACTGAAAATAAAAACCCTACAGCATATAACCAGAAGCCATAATTTAAAGACATAAATGTAGAAACTAACAGATTATTAAAACCTGCTGATATAACCCATTTTAAACAAGACAAAAAATATCACATGATTACTCTTAGTTCTTTTCTGTTGTCTTAACTTTTGCAATACTGAGTACCACATCCAGCCAGCCTGATTGCAATGCAATTGCCTTGGATATCCACCAAAATTCTACCATTAATAACTCACAAATGGAAATTTAGTAAAATACCAGATATCATACTTTTTCTTACTGCTTATAATTATTAACATCTAGATTGTACCCAGATGAGAGACCGGTTACCAGAGAAGCGTCGCCTGAGAGTTGTTGATCCTGCCCGCTGAGCGGGGATCTTGCGCGCAGTTCCGCGGCAAGACGCACGCGATCGCGGGAACGTGCTACGAAAGTATCACGCGCTGGCGCCTGGTGCTGGCTAGTTCCTATCAATATTCAACTACAAAATATGACACGTATCTCACAAAGACATCATAATGACATATGCAATGATTTAGTGCTGAGCATAACGGTGTGCATTCCATCCTACTGCAATCGGCGAATGACCTGAGGGGGTGGCGTTTCATCCTGTGGTGGCCTCTGGTAGTCATTTCGGGAAACGCAGGTTTTTTCGAGTTCTGCATCTCTGTCTGCTGAGCGTTTCATGGCTCCCTTCCAAACAAATTACAACAATTTTTTATTATTTTTTAATTTCTTTATACGATTGTTTATTTACAGTAAACTGACAAATTAAATTGGATATTAGTAATGCATTGCTTAGATGGCGCATACCTTTAATCACAGATCTATAATCCAAGACCAATATTTTTACCTATCCAATGAAACATCCAAGTTTCTTTTACGATAGATTCAGAAAATGAAACACTTCTATTTTCCCCATACAGAAGAACAGACTTATGTAAAGGAAGACAGAGAACCCTGATATTTACAACCAAACATGTGGTTAGCTCATTTGCCTGCATTTGTACAAAATACATGCTCTATATGTATGCTCTCTGTATGATGCACTTATCATTTCCCTATTACAGTGGTTGGTGGCATTCAGTGTGAGGATGCTCACAGGCTCGCATAGTTTCAAATTATCTTACTCTTACCTTTCTTGGACTAGTGCGCTTTGATGATATTGGTGGTCTCATATCCGCATTCTGTGGGTGCATGATCTTGTTAGCTTTTCTTTGCATATCTTCATCCTGAGAACAATATCAACAAATGGGCCTTGGTCATATAACTATTATAGTTAGATGCTCACACAAAGCAACAAATCTACAGTTTTATCTATACATCAGCTATATTTTTATTCCTAGTTAATACATGGTAATATACAGAGCAGTAAGGCACAACACACTATCTCTGTACGCAAATATCCATCTTGATATATTAGTTTATTAACGTACACATAGCCACTTATGGTTGAGAGCCTCTGACATTGTGATTCGGTGCTCAGGCTTCACTGTCAGCAGACGCTTGATCATATTAATTGCTGCAATTATGGCAAGTACAAATATTTGCATGGAAATTCATGGACACTATGGGAGACGTTCGCGTACTAATGCATACAGAAAACAAACATGAAGTTTAATTTTGGAATTTGTTGAACAAATCAGGAAATATATTTCATTAACACAAAATGCATTTATATTATAAAATATTATTACATTATAAAATTGCATTATGTAAATAAATTTTAGCTCATATAAATTTCGTCAATAGTCAATTATACTATAATATAATAAATATTTACTACACAAGTGTGTGACACCATGGAGTGTCTAACTAAAGTTACAACATGTAGTAGCAGGAAAATCTGCCATCAAACCTTCTCCAGAGATTGCCCGCCAGTGTTTCTTTGGGAAGCTGTATCGGCCTCTAATGATTTGATCCGATAGCCTCATGTCAGTGTAGTCACTGGAGAATGGTGGATAGCCTCCTAGACTATACCAAAAACATGCATACAATTATAGAGTTGTTTCATATATATTATAAGGCTATGGAAAAGCATAAAATGTCTGCGCAACATCAGTTGCAAAATATCATTCGAAAACATTATTTCAACAATTTTTGGCAACATTGTCATTACACAAAGCAATAGCAAAACAATGAAATCCGCACATTCGATTATGTTGTACCATATATAAAGTATGACACCCAAACTCCAACAATCAATGGCCTTTGTGTAACTTCCACTGCCTCGTGTCAGCAGCACCTCAGGTGCCAGGTAGGTAGGTGTGCCGCAGAATGTCTTTAGCATTGTACTGCCATCTACCAGTTTTGACAAACCAAAATCGGTTATCTAAAAACAAAACAGAGATAACGTCCACATTAGGATCAAAATCAATGGCTATGCATGCCTTAGGCGATTATTATCTTCATTAATTTGCAGCATCACATTTCTTGGCACAACCAAACAGGAATATTTAACACAGATACCAGCAAACCATCTGGAACGAATACTGTACACGCACGCACGCACGCACGCACACACACACACACACCTACATGCTGCATGCTTGAGCTTACACCTCACAATTAAGGTGCGATTAAAAGGAACCAGGTTGGGGCCCACATATTTGTTCAATAGAGCCACTAAGTACGTATGTATTCAAATTGCAAAAAATTATCTGTACTGCCACACTATCAGCAGTTAATAATAAGTCTATCATTATTTGTCATTATATCATTTATATAATTTATTGTCATGTCATTATTTGTCATTATATAATAATGAATTTGTCATTATTGACCCCTGCCACTATACATACAGAGTATCAGCAGCACATTAAAGCATTCACCTTTATGAGCGTCTCATTCGTTTCAGCATCGACAAGCAGGACATTCTCCGGTTTCAGGTCTCGATGTGTGATAGCCTGATCGTGCAGGTACTTTATGGCCAACACCATCTGGTAGAAGATGAGCTTTGCTGTTGGCTCATCTAGTTGACCGACGCTCGTGATCCGATCGAAAAGCTCTCCACCTTCAACCCTGAAGAGCGTCATTTTACACAGGATATTTTATTTACGGAGGATGAGGATGATACGACATATGCGTAGTAGTGTAGGGCTGTCTCTGGATGTTTTTAAGTTTGAGCCAAGACTTGAGCCACCAAAGTTATTTTTTAGCCACTAATGAAACACTATAGCCAAACCTATAGCAAGACATAAACAGGTAATGGGTATGGGAAAAGAGGGGTACGAAAACATTTTACGACATGACGCTGCAATTTGACGATTTCATTATTCAATCGTAAATTTGTGAGCATGTAAATCATTTGTCAATTGAATTCGCTACTTAGTGTAGTAAAATCGCCGCTGTAATTATTTATCACATTTTGCGAACGTGGCGAACGCCAGCGGTAGCCCTGGTGTAGTACCATTGGTCTGTTATCTGCTTGAACTATATACCTAGATGTCACAACACATACCAGCACTTCCACCGACTCGCATTTATTCAGACACCTTTTAGCTTACAGGCATCTAATTTTGTCAATTTATCCAATTAGAGTCACATCTCTGTTAGTGGTTGCCTCTATAGAGTGAATTCATGTATAACCACTATCACCAGTCTACAGATATACTTTTGGCATTTCCTTAGAGTAGCAGTAATACAGAGAAACCACCTCTACAGCATATACACATGTCTACAAAGCACAGTTTTGGTATTTCCCTCGAGTGACCCTTATATAAATGCTGAACAATACACAAGTACCTGTCACATTGCGTTTTTGCAGTAGAGGTTTTAATAGGGATATATGCAGTAGCTTACAGTTCAAGCACAATGTAGAGAGTTGAGTCTGTGTCTATCACATCTTGTATGCCAATGATGCAAGGCTGGAACAAACAATTGTGTGAGTAAGCAAACAGCAGAATAATACAGCACAACTGGAACGATTTAACTCTGAGTGGCACCAATGCAGTGAGGAGAACGGTATTATCAAGAACTAAAATCGTCGCTATAAAAATCAATTCAAGGAAATTAAAAATTATACCCTTTTCTACATGACTTAAAAAAATCAAAATGAATGCTGCTAGGAATTGATTTTGATACACACGTGTTTTAGACTTTTTAGAATCTTGACTTCAGACATGACCTGTGATGTAAGATTCTGAAATAAATTAACAAAAGCTCTTTTGAGCAACTGTATTCTGTTAATCCACACAAGTTATTTGCTGCTCTACATTCAGTTCTTGATACACTAGATATAACTAAGTGAACCAATATACCACTGTCATAACAGTCTATACAAGCTAGCAACACTGCCATTTCTATCCTTTAAACATGGCATACAGTATCTTGAGAGTTCAAAATACAATTTCAGAACAGAGATTCATTGTGGGTTTTTGGAAGAAATCATGATAATTGCAAAATACATGTGTATACTCGTGTATTTTACATGATTCTCCTTACAGAATGAATATCTTACCATCTTATTACTGCTGCCAAGGCTGAACTTGTTCTTCTCCACGACCTTGATAGCAACTCGTTCACAGACACCTTTAGAAAACGCCAGCCTCACCTCTCCACACGCACCTCTATGCCACAAATAGAGAGCAGGTCTACCAGTTAAATACACCCCCAAACAAATGAGAGCTAGTAATATAGCGAAATACTATCTCTTTTGAAGGTTAACTGTAAAGACCACCTGCTCAACACAACAAGTCAAATCTAACGCGTTTTCTCATTTCATTCATATCAGCTTTATCAACTTTGAGATTAATATGGGTTAATTAAAAGTTCAACTAATCGTCAGAGGAACGTGCATGATTTAAAATATACAATGTTATATATGCCATCAATTGGCAGCTATTCAATGTAATTAGTCATTACCGTCCCAGGATTCTTGACATTGTGTATTTCTGGCGTAGCTCCTCTGGAAACTTTACATTTTCCTTGTCCGCATTATCCATGTAGACAAATGCTTAAAGAGCAAATAATAATTTAACAGTTCTATGGACGTATTCAACCATTTAAAGATTGTCATTAGGCATGTGGACTCAAATCATACACTGAAATAGCTCCAACTATAACCTCCACTAATGATAACTATTGGCAGATAGTAAGTATATAAATTAGATTGCAGTTCTCACCTTTGTGGTTTTTCACTGATAGCGAAATCTCATCATTGTTGTTAAGCACTTGTTTGCGGTTCTTACCTGCAGAGACATACAACATTACCAAACCAAATTGTTTAATAACATGCATAACAACATCTAGACTAAATATTATCCCTAAACAGAGACAGGTCTGTTAGTCAGAGTTTGGGAAGTGCGTATTAAAAGGGTGAGGCACTATTATCCTTTTGGGTCTCGTATATAAATACAAAATCTTATACATTACTAGACATTACTAGACATTTTACTATACATTTTATTGACCACAAAATTTCAAGTACCAATTTTTTCTCCATTAACGAAGGTCCCATTGCTGCTTTTGTCTTCTATAAATGTATAGATGACTGAACCTTCCTGTTCCTGAATGTATAATCGGAATTATGGGAAAAAATTATGATTAAACACCAAAAAGAAAATGAGAATAAGTGATTTATGCAGCCATTTTCTAAGGAACATCCTTTGTTCGGGAAACGCTAAACATAGGTATAACTACTAACATAGCAATTAAGCTTGTAAGAATATGTTGATATGGAAGACCATATCAGAATAACACAACATAACATAACATGGTATATTTATGCATACAATATAGTTATGATTTAGTATATGACTCAAAAATCGTTTACACCCCAAGGAAGCCGACCACGAAACCATAATTGCCACACAAACATGCCAAATTTAATGTCATTAAAAAACTTGATTACCCTGAGTATTTTGAAATGAAGTTTGCTGTATGCTGCAAAATATGGCTTGGAACTGAGTGTAGTGCTCTTCGTGAAGCAATAGTCGCATTCGTCTCCCCTACCAAATATGTGCTCCGGATTCATTAAGTCTAGAAGCAGAAATAATACACATTCACTATATTATATAACGTAACATGCCATATTGATAAATATTAATTTTGCATTATATTACAGAAACTTTAATTCACTGTGTATTTGTAATATTATATATAGTAAACATATATAGAAATCAAAACCTGATTTCCAATGTCATTCATAATGGCAATGTTAGAAATAAGTATCTGATGCTACCCATGATATGATCTGCTTGCCACAAATAACGAGTAGCGAGTGTGAAAATAGCTCTACTCAGATAACACAGGGGTACAGAAGCAGATAAAGTACGTGTAACCCATGCACCCACACTTATCCCAATGTACTGGTTTCTAAACCTGCATTCATTGTGTCAACATCCCCAGCTTGGTAACTGTTTGTTGGGTTGCAGAAATGGTACATTTCAGTGCCCGCAGAACGGGGGGGGGGGCTAAGGGGGCTTGAGCACCCCCACTTCTTTAAATGCCACATAAGATTAAATAAGAGAGAAAAGAGTGAGGAGAGGAGAGAGCACGATACGCGTGTGCACAGGAGCTACCACAAAATCGCTCTACTGGATTGTAACAAATTGAGCACCCCCCCACTCAAAAATCGTTCCACGACGCCTGCATGCAGATTATTTTGCTTAATTTCACTGATGTCATCTCTCGAGAGAATCACAGAATCACTGGACATTATAACTTATATACGCACTACTATTGGACTGTGCCAGGCTGGCAGGGTCTCTGTCTCCCTGGGTACTGCCGGAACGTGCCCTGGGTACTGTCCGGTATACCGGACCTGAGATTAGGGGCGTGCCTTTCAAAGGACCGGGAACGAGGCATATGCAGTACCCTAAATGACCACTTGAGTGGAGGGGGCCGGGATCAAGTGTACGTTTCGCGCTATGCCGAACCCGTACCCCAGGGTACATCCGGGCAGCTACCCAAGGAGACATAGACGCCTATTGTGGAGATTTCAGGGGGAGTGAATGATTGTGGGCAGAGTTCAGGGGATGACCGTCATACAACCAGACCAAACCACCGCAACAGAGATTGGAGAGTTTTCCTGAGGGAGGGGGCTCCCATAAGCAGCCGATGTGGGAGGTCAGGGAATTGGCACCCTCACGTACACGCGCGCGCGAGAAGGTGTGGCGCCAGCCGATGCTGGGAGGTCAGGGAGTTGCACCATTCACGTACTTGCGCGCGAGAGAGTGGCGCCAGCGAGCAAGTGGGCAGACAAGGGCGCTACGACGCTCAGTGCGTATATTCAATCCAAGGGTTGCATCCACCTGTACACGCTTGTAAGCGAGGGGGGGACAACGGCCAGGCACCCGACGTGCCATCACCTTCTGACACTGGCACGGGACAGGCGAGGCGCCGCCGTATCCTAGCGTCAGCTGCGGCTCTATATAAGGCAGCCGAGACCCATTGGTAAATAAGTCAGTCTTCGGAACGCACGACACGAACGAACAGAAGGAGCAAACGAACGAAGCGAAGAGCAAGAACGAAATCAAAACAGACAAATAACCAACGAACAGATCGCGACACGAACGAACGAACGAACGAAGCGCTCAGCGCTCAACCAGAGAGCGAAACACACACCGGCGGAGGGAGAACCTCGCACAAAGCAGGAGACGCCCGAGCAGCGTATACTTATACGTAAGGAAGCTATAGCCTACACCGACAGGGAGACGCACTGCCAGCCCACGAACTCGCGCCGAGCCGCGAAGCACACGATGGGAGACGACAGAGACGGCTACAGTATTAAACCTGATGAAGAATAGCTAAGAGAAGTAAACGTGTATCGCCTAACGAGATAACAGTAAAACGTGGC